TACGGGTGAAAGTGCCAAAATGCGAACTCACAGAGGGTGATGGAGTGGATGGATTGCCCCCAAATTGAGGGTGTAGAGTGCGATAGTATAGGGTACTAGATGGCTCAAATAGGGCCCAAGATCCGAGCACAGGATGTGGAGATATGGAGTAGGGGGCCAAAAGGTGATCAAATGATGATGAAGGCTCACAGAAAGATCCAGCTCAAATCCAACCGCTCTGACAGGTCTCCTAGGGTTATTTAGGCCGTAGAAGACGATGGTAGAAGTTTGGGGACGATCAGATAAGGATTGGATGAGATATGATGCAGATAAGACCAAAAAAGCGTCCAAAATGGGGGTAACTTGCAACAAGGAGTTGTTGTTGGAGATCAGGATGAGATCAGAGTAATCTGAGGTGATGGATGGGATAATAGGAGTCCCAGAAGACGATGGTTACAATGGATAAGCAGTAGGACGCTTGGATGGTGAGATATGAGGTCAGGAAGATGGCTAGAGCACAGGGCTCATAACCTATTAAGAACAAAGCTTGAAGGAAGTGTCTAGCCACTTGCTGAGAGCAATCAGGGACTGGAACTAGAGTCCAATGTGAGTAACTAGAGAATAGGAAGCATTGGACTCTGCAGTACTGTCCGATGTTTTGTAAACAAAGGTAAACAAAGCAGCCACAAAGGCGAAATAATAGAGAACACAATCAATACTGAATGGTAGAGGGATAGATAGAGAAAGGAATGAAAATATAGAGGTAGCACAAAGGTGCAGAATCACCAAAACTAACACATACTTGTCCGATAATCACAACTTGAGGACGACATAACTGAGTCTTCTTTCCAGAGAAAGTTCCGCCAGCATGACCAACTCTATGCATAATGCGATGAACGTCAATGGCATGTTCCGATATAAATCTACGAATGCCAGGATTGCCAGGAATGGTCTCTGGGTTGCCATCTGCATCTTCATAACGAGAAGTAGGTCCTTTGATTGGGAGGTCATCAACAAAGATATTGGCAATATGCGGAATTTCATCTTGCAAGATGAAAGTCATGCAATTCTGGAATTCTGGAACGGAATTGGTGAATCCCATAGGCATAGAAGTAATCCTCAGAAGTCCTAGTGGCGATAGAAAAGAGGTAAGGTCACGACTGTCAGGGTGCACTTTCCGAGCATCAAATCCCCAAAAAAGATCAAACACAGTATAACATTGAGAACCAGCAAATGGCTCCACAAAGTCGTCAAGGATAGGTGGTACTCCTGAGTCTTTGATAGTGACTGCATTTAGTGGCTGAAGATCATGGACGATGCGAATCTTGCCATTCTTCTTTTGAACGCAAAACCACTTAGAGCGATAAGACGACTGGCTAGGCTCATAGACTCCAGCTTTGATTTTGTCTCTGAGCAATTCTATGACTTCATTCTTGATTCCAGGAGGAATAGGAATGTTCTTGTATTCCCAAGGGACATGTGGGAGAACAGGTATGACGTAGGGAGAGAAGTAGTCTTCTCTGAACGTTCCTCTGTCAGTTTCCTCGAAGGCAAGACTGCGCTGATTGAGTATCATGATGTGAGCGAAAAGCTTTTCCTCTTCTGGCCATAAGAATCCATCAGAGTTTAGCTTCATTTCGTCATAAAGGCGCTCCTTGGTGAGCTTCGGCGTGGGAATGAATTCTGGGGGAAGGACAGGAAGGGGTGGGAGCGAAAGGAGTGGGTCTTCTGGAAATGACCGAGTGACACGTGCGTCTTCTGGGAATACTCCAGGAACAGGTTTGACTTTGCGATCAACACGTTTGTAAGCTCCAAAACTCGACCAATCGGGTGCTGGTACAGGTATAGGGTCCACAATGTCTATCATGTAACTAGGGTTAAAACAAAAAGTGTTCAAAGAAGGAAAGTGCCGTGGTAGTTTTGCGTCATCTCGGACCGAATAGGATAGGGATGAGGTTGGAAGTTTTACAAGGGGGGAAGGAAAAAGATCAGATAAGAACGAAAGGGGAACATAGACAATAGAAAAAGAAGTTGGTACAAGAGTAAAGGAAGGAAAAACCGGATAACATAGAAATCCAAGAGGCCATTTTGTACAAGTAATAGATATATAACAAGAAAGAAGAAAAAGGGAAAAAGTGGCATATGGTTTAAGAGCGCTGAATGGAGTGTTAAGTAAGAAAGGAATATAGAAATGTATCACCAGCATCTACCTCAAACTTCAACTGTGGCACTAGCAAGTACCTCAGTGCTGGTGGTGAATGTGGATGCACTGGATGGATGAGTTGTCCTGTTGTGGAGGTGAATAACCTCAACATGTTCTCGTCGACAATAAGCGCGAATACGAGGGAAGACAAAACCGTAGAAAAGGGCGAGGACAAGTAACACTCCCACCATAATCTCGATGATGAGAGCTTCTTTAGTAATATGAAACCCTTCGAGCCAGGACATGTTAGGTGCTTGTAATGCTCGATGTAAGCGTTTAGGATGGAGTGAAGATGTGTTAGAATCGGAGTAGAATTTCTGGCACTGGTGTGAATAATTGATAATGGCTGAGCTGATGGTGACGTGGGAAAATGATGATAGTGATGCATGGAAGTTCGAAGATAAGGAGTAATATCGGATGATATATTGATGGAAGGTTGATGCTCCACTCCTATTGTTGTGGAGAAGGATAAGTGAAGGGGCGGTGAGGATTCAATCTCCCTTTCATCCTCTTGACTATCATTGCAAATAGTATGCATGAGTGTGCGATTATCAGGAGAAATTGACGAAGCAATAGTAGCATTGGTAGAGGATGGTGATAGGGGTGAGTCACTGATATTTGATGGTAACTGTTGACGCGAATATGGGGGTGGTGATTCAGAATCAGTGGATGAGTCATCATTAATTAATCCATTTATATGATTGTGTATCGGCTCCGAATCGGATTCTTGTATTACCTCCACCGTCACATTGACTTGACCATTCATATCACGTGATGGAGGTCCAT